ATAAATTTCGAGAGGTATGAAGATTATAATAAAAAAAGTCAACTGGGTAAAAAGGAAGGTACCTTTAAGTCCTTCAATGCGTCAGAATCAGAGATTAGAGTTGATGAAGACATCACAGAAATTTTCCTATCAGCCAAACAGATGAATACTCAACATATTCATTTCCGAAATTGAAAGCTTAACCAACATTCAAACATAGATTCACCGATCATCACTTAAATTAAACTTAACAGATTTAAACGGGAAAATTTCAAAACAAGTTTATCAAGATTTTCTAAAAAAGAAAAGAAATGAAAAGTTTGATGATCGAAGAAAAAGGATCGAAGAAAAAGGAAGAAACAAACCACAAAAAAAAAAAAAAAAAGAGGGTGAGATTGAAGCGTTTTGGGAGTGTACCTAAGGGAGAAAAGGTGGATTCTCAGTGAAAAAAAGTCCGGAAGAACTGAAACTGTGCTCGCCGGGGCTTAGGACAATAGTAGAACGGATGAGTGCAAGCGAAACAAGTCACTTGTCACGGTGTGAGCATTGAAAAAACACAAAAACCTACCTTTACGTAAAGAGGTGTTGTGGTGGATCAACTCATTGGCTGATTGAAACTTCTGAGGCTTCAACTTCCACGGGCCACTCCTGTTCAAAAAGTCTTAGTACAAAACAAAAAACTTCCCTTTCACCACCAAAAACTTTCCGTTGCCGGGAATCGAACCCGGGTCTCCTGGGTGAAAGCCAGACATCCTAACCGCTGGACGACAACGGAGCTCTTTCGTTGAGGTTTCCTGTAAAATTTACTTTAGATTAAAACAGATTGTGTTACATGCCACATACTCTCCACTCCTTAAGATTAGAAAAGCCTTACCACGTGTGGATGGCGAGGAACAGAAATGAGAAAACTATATCAACAGACCTTCCAAGGACTGAAGCAGCAATCCTAACATTCAATCTGAGGTCAAGACTCAATAGCAACGTTTTGGGTTTTGCTCACCCAAGCTCTTCCTTTTTCTAGCTAACACCATTGCAATTAAGTCGGGTGGTTGTAAGGAATTCGTCTTTGTATTCTGTCTGTATTTTGTCTCTCTTAAGTAGTAGCAATCATCGTTCTGCTTCATTGTACACCTAGTTTTCATGGATAAAGAGTTTCACTTTCTATCTGGTGCTTATAGATGTGGGGTTTGCAAGTTCTCATAAATTAATCGGGTCAAAAGCGCAGGTACTCTTTTTAAATAAATAACATCTCTTTTCTCTAAAATTTCAATGTCTTGAAAATGATTTTTTTCAGCTACACGCCTGTAAAAGGAGAAGTCTTTTTGGAATTTAATCCAAACCTTGGGACAATAATTTTACATTGTCTCAAAAGGCTTACAAAAATGTCATTCTTTTAAGAACTAACTAGTATGTTTAACAGATAACTATCATTCATCCATTGTGCATATTTCTAGTTTTCTTCCCTTGACGGGCACTATCATTAGAAACAGATAATTTCCCTTAATACATCAGTAGAAAATGCTCTGCAATCCCTTCTGATGGAATGTCTGACTCTAGTCATTCCTATATTTAAGGATTCTATTGAATCATTGAAGATATGCTTGGCTTGGTAAACCAGCTTAAAGAAACAGATGCGAGTTGCTATTTGAAAAGGCAGATGAGCTCTTACCATCAGTTGTTTATCAGATCATCTTACTTTCAATGGTGCAAAATTATGAGCTCCTGTTGCCATGGCTGCGGCATCAACTGTGCTTAATATTTGAGGTACAGACATGCCCCCAGAGATGGCAATTTCTGCATAATATCAGAATCAAAACTCACATCGCTGTAAGAAATTTAGCAGAAAAGATGTGTATGGTCAATTTTGAATTTTCACTTCTGACATCTAAATATCACATATGAATATCAGACATCTTACCAATCCCCGCTCTAAATTATAAATTGGGCCTCAAAATATCCTTTGAACTAATGAGAAAGATATCACCAAGATAAAGATGGTTAGTGGGCACATAAACACAAGAAAGTTCTTCTTCACCAAAACTCTTCTGAAGAACAACAGTAGAAGTAATAAATCCAAATGCATATTCCCCAACACAGGGGTGCCTTAAAATGGCCACTTCTTTAAAAGCATTAGAGTCCTGATCTGCAAAGTTATGTCACATTGATCAGAGTCAGAAAAACTCAAAATTTTAGACTAAAACATGCCTGGAAACATTACCTGGTGATATTGCTCCACTTATTTGCTTAGAGGCAGAATAAATGTAGCTCATAATTGACATTTTCTTAAGGAACCATTCTCCAAGAATAAGAACTGAAGCCCCCCACCATGATGACATGAAAACGCCTATTAAAAAGATAAAAGTGATGGAGGTGACAAACCGGAGACCTGCATGTTGGCCAAATTATTAACCAATGAAAATCTGAAGTAACGGTTCAAAGCAGTAAAAGCCCATATAGAATGCCTTCACAGTTGTAAAACTTTAGATCAAAAATTTATCTTTCCAGTTCAGCCAGTAAATTTCTGATTGTTTGAAGGAAATTCTACAAGACTGCTGACACAGCTGTCAAATGGAACTCCCATATTAAAGAAATTAGACAGCCCTTTTCAAGTGCAATACCAACACATTAACTTCAAATATATATATATATATATATATCATATTCATACATATAGATTAATGACCTGAAGGAATACTAATCGTCAGAGAGCTGAAGTACAATATATCAAATATATATGGATTAAAGACATGAAGGAATACAGATCCTCAGAGACCAGCTGCAATAATAGATATATCATATCCATATTCTTATCAAAAACATTGATGCCAAGATGATCATAGATAGGGGAGAAGAAACCATCCACAAAGCAAACGAAATCCCAAGTAACATAGAATGTGATGGCTATAGGAAGAAGAATGACACTGCAAGTAAAGAAATTGTCATTAAACAATCTAAAAAATCTTAATCACTTTATATAACGACGTGAACAGTTGGAAACTTGGAATGCCATCAATAAAAAGGAAAAAGGGTCATAGACTAACGGGGACTCACAACCCTGTCATATACTTCTTTGAAGCCCAGCTACGGATGGCTTTGGAAAATGCCTATGCCAAGATCAAAACAAAACTCTACCCATTAACAAGAAGCCACAGAGGTTTCACCATGACAAAACTAAAAACCAAAAACCATAGACAACATGCCAACAACCTAAATAGTTCAGTGGTTAACTCCTGAAAGCAACAAGTCCTGAGTTTGACTCACATGTCATGCGGGTGGGTGGGATAAGCAATTGGAGATGGTTGCCTCCCATTGTGCAATCAAGATAAAAAAAAAAAAAAAAAGAGAAAAGAAAGGAAGCATAAAGGATTCTGAGAACTATATTTTAACTAATGAGAATTTAACCGAATTTTATTAAATTTCAA